AAAACTCTGTGGGAGTTGCGGATTCTTTCTATCTCCGGATTTGTTTATTTTAATCTAGCGTAGTAATCATGTTAAAAATTAAACGAATATTTATCGTCACAAAATGAAGACCATTAACATAAACGAAGAACGCATAAGTTAATGCGATGTCAGGAGAACATCCTATCGAATGTTGAAGGAGGAATTTGGTCGGAAAATCAAATCCATAGCAATGACGAGAAAATTGCATATTATTTTAGCCGTCAGTCTTGCATACGCTGAAAAAGTAAGGAATCGATTCGGAACTCTGCAAGAGATATACCGGATCATCAGCATGAAGATTCAGTTGTTTGAAGATGTGACTGAAATCGAAGTTTCGAATGGACTTCGTCAAAGTACCATAACGCCCAAGCTGTTGTTGGTGGCGCATATCTTGAACCGGTATTCTGCTAAATGAAATGGGATAGAAGACTTTTAGGCAAAGGTGGACGGTTTGCTGATGTTCGATTTGCTGAAGAAATCGTGTTGTTGGAGACAATGGCAATAGAAGTTGAAGTGATGTTATGTGAGCTATCGTTAAGAGCAACCAAATTGGGTTTTGGATAAACAGGGCTAAGATGAGAATGATGAAAAACGAATTCGCTCAGCTAGCCACATTTACATAGACGATTGGAATGAGTAAACGGATATGCTTTTTTTAGAAGGCTAATCGTCTCGGACAACTTCTTTGGTCTAGAATCCGCTGAGCGTAGTGCAGCGTGGAGTATGTACATAGGAAATTGTGCCATTCCTGAAAGGAGAAAATCGTCTGTTGTGCTTAGAACCATATTGTATCTGAATACGATAGTTTTATGCGCTTGTGAGACCTGAACGTTAATCAGAAAAGACGAAGAACTGTTAGGAGTGCAACGCGGAATGGGACGAAGGATGTTAGGAATTTGCCTGCGCAATCCATCAGGGACGAGCTGCATCAGGAAGGGAAGAACTGAGAAGAGGACGGAACTGTGGGACGTTGCATTAGTTTCAGAAGAAAGAAGCCGGCAATGGACTTCAGCGGTGATGAACGTGGTAGCCAAGAGGACTGCAAGCGTCCAACTGGAAGACTTCAGGTCAGATGGAGTGAATAACTAACAGAGAGAGAGAGATCTGGAACCCTGCGGCGGAACAGTAATCGCACGAGACAAACGAACGTGCTCTGCGGGACTCGACAATGGTGATCCCCGTTAATCACGAAGATAAGTCAGTCGTTGTTGCTGTCAGTTTTAGGATTCTGTAGGCTTAGTGTAGGACCGACCAATCTATACACGCTCTTTATTTTACACTAGAAATTTTCGCTGTACGACACAAGAGTATGCATGTTTTTACGCACAAGACGACGGCTTACTGACTTGTGGCACGTTCCGCTGTTAGTGACTATTTGTACGCCACCTTTGCGCTGCAGAAGCTACATGCAGTGTCCTGTCGCATAGGACAGCGTATGGTCTCGCGGAGCATCCTACACCTCCACAGTTCGAAGCCGACCTCTTACGGTGGTACCACAGCTCCCCACGGCCATAAACTCAGACGAAACGGGAGGACCAAGAGGGACTTTCTTTAAAAAAAAAGAACCTTTCGGCAATAGAGATAAAGCCTCGGTATCATCGACAGCGATTTATTTTATTTTGTGCCAATAAGCTGTATTTTGGTGGTCTTTAGTCAAAAAGGCACGTTGTTAAGAAAAATTTATTTTACTAGTCTGAGATATGTGATATGAGCGTGACGGTGTTCAATTATTGCTTAAGAGTAGCACAAATCGATAGAACATTTACAATGCAATTAATATTATTTCCGTTCGTTTAGTAAAACTTTTATTACACGGCGCAGTCTAAGCTCTTGGTGCACGTTTAGCGTGAAGAATTGAGTCAGTCAAAATATGAAAATGTTTAAGCGTTAAAAACTTTACTCTAATTTTCCTTCGACAATCTTCTGATTATTTTGCCAAAGATGGAGCGGCGATCTGGCAGTTCTCAGGAATTCTCCGTAATCGAGTGGTGCTATTCGCTGCAAAGGCTGATCGAACGAAAGTGCGAGAAAAAATGACGCGCCTAACGCAGTGTACAGACTACAGCTCTCTGTCAAGGTAAAAGGTTCTGCCGTATCGTATCGCAAAATACTGGAGTTTAAATGATCCATCGTCGGCTTCATCGCGTGCGCTTTAGAGCATCCCGGTGCGCACCGAGCAGCAGATTCATAAGACCTGTACTGAACGAAGTATACCCAGCTTATTCTTTGTTCGTTCATCTAGCGGTAGCTTCGATCTCCAGAACAAAGAGTTGAATCGCAGAACTCGAGAAGATCGAAATGAACCTCAAGATCGTGAAGAAGATCGTTGGAACAGAGAAAGAGTACACAACGAACAAGGATGCCGAATATGGTTTATGTACGTAACTTACGCTTGGAATATACGAGAACTGAGCCGACTCTTCGGATCGATCGTCAACAAGCCTAAAACCATCGATTTCACTCTGTGCAGATGATGCAAGACCTGGAGGAACAGATGAGTCATGGAGGCCGGTTTATTTTTCTCAGATCAGTGACACTGTGAATAACACGCGTCCATCAAATAGAAGCCACCCGTCCACTGTAGCCGCTGTCAGCAACATGAAGAAAGAATGTCTAAGCGTTGCAAAGAAAATAAAATTGTCTGTAAAAGTATGGGCTGGCGACGAAAATCGATTATTTGATTTTCTCGATCGCACGTAGTTACAAAGCATAGCAGACGTTCGAGGACGAAATACATTTAATTAGCGAGGTGCAGTTATTTCAACCTCGTTCATGAAGTAAGTATGCGCATGTGATAGGGTTTGTTTGCTTTCAGAGCAGATGCACAAAACAAACTTCCTTAATCCAGTGGTACTGCAAAGTTCAGACGTTGTTGATGCAAGAGCCAAAACGCTTTGTCGAGCGATCTGTTTGTTCCGCACTTCTGCAAATATGTCCGTTCCTCTCTGTTTGCGAACCACGACGACCGCGTAGCGTTCTGGTTTGGTCATACTTGGATGGGCATAAGGTGTGGCCATGTCGTCATGGCTGAGTACCTCTAGTAGTTGCAGCGCACCTTGACCCACGTGGTAATTGATTTTTCAGTGTCGTACATAATCAGTATATAATGTAGCCTATGTTGTCGCAGTTTGGAGATTGAGAACTACCGAGTATTCGCGAATTGATTAGTAGTATAAGATGGAGGATGACCCTCTTCGGAGTGCTGATGACGGTGCCGAGCTCGACTCGAATTCGAGGAAGGGTTGAGCATGTCATTTCTTCACCTCCGGCAGTGTTGCACTGATGACACACTTCAACAGTAGAGAAAAAATGTGCAGCGGCAAATTTGGTTTCTCGATTTTTTTGGTTTGCTTCCCAATGTGAGTCTTTACAATTTTACAAATCGAAGAATGATCTTGTTGTACAAACAGATAAGCCTTAGAACTGGGTTAAAAAATTACTGACCTCCAATCGAGCAGAGGACGAACCATGCAAAATATATCTGCATACCTCCCCTGTCGACCTTCATACAATGAGTATGTACACAGTTATCTGTGCACTGGATAAAACCAGTAACAGCGGATTTGTTTAGCTCCTTGGTCCCACGTGATATAAAGTTTGCTTGTAAGATGTGACGAGGAATATCGAAACATACCTGCTTAGCTGGTTCCGTACGATGAATGACTATTGCACACTTCTAACTTACGTACGATCATCAATTTCTTGAGCAAAAGATGAAAAATGATGTGATATGGTGGAATTGGAGCATATTATGAACAACTGTTCATCTAGTGCTATTCGGAGGATTAGAGGGAGAAGGGACAAAGCCTCTGGCTGAACTTTAAAGACTGCAGAAAGTTAGTGCAAGTCAGGTGAGAAAGAATAAGCAAACAGCATTTAACAGCTATCAGCAACAGCAATAATGTAAGTAAAAACTGAGTAATTTTTTTCCCTCAACGTTAAGGTTTGAATAAGTTGAACTTAGTGGAAAAAAATAAAGCGGACACCTTGCTATCCTTTTTCTTGGTCGTCTTCTGTCCTTTCTCTGTTGCGTTTGAAGCGGTTGCACGGTTGGCGTTTTGGCGTCAGTAACTAACGTCAGTCGTTGTAGCGACGGAGGGGGCATATTTCGGCGACCTTGACATGGTTTGGCATAAAATCGCGAGAATTATTGCAGCCTCATCGTGATTCATTACATGCGTTGATGGTAGTCTAATGCTATGCGCAGGATGGTTGAACAAGTTTGGTACTCCAAAAATAAACCCTAATATTATTGGTTTGCTAGCAAAGCTGGTAGTTTTCAATACTGTCGACAAGAATAACTCACAGTCTCCTGCTATGTTCGGATTATTACAGCGTACTGGTCTGTTCCCTTAATTCTAGTGGCCTGGGGGCCCGTTTAAACAGGCCGACATGGCATTATGACATTTTAAAACTTGCAATGTTTGGGGGCGAAACAGCATCACTTTATTAGGTCGAACTTGTTCAAACACCGACGCATATACCTCGATCCATAACATATGCATAATGATATGCCGAGTCATCTGATAAATATCAGTTTTCTAATTTTTCCAGTTCTTTGTTCTAATATCTAGTCCTCAGATTGATCACACAACACCTAGCTGAGCAGCGAATTCACGTTAACGGTGAGTTTACTACAAATCGTTTTTAAATTCCTCCTCGATCTGTCACCCTCTAACTTAATGTAAGAATAACTTATTAAAATCTACGAAGAGACGAGGAATAGATTGAAGACATTAATATATGATGTGCTGGCAAATACTAATTATTTTGGTCATTATCATGCTGCTGCGCGTGAACCTGAGCTTTAAGGACTTAAACGCTCTTTTGCAGAAAAATGTCAAGAGAAAAAACTGAAGCAGGAAAAAATTTTATTTATTTGTTTAGAGTTTCTTGCTATAATATAAATATGAAAAACAACTCAAAAAACGACTGAGACAGTGAGAAAACGATGGTTTTCCAGTGATGTAGCACCGTAGCTATTTCAGTACGTAGTCATATAAGTACTGGACCAAATCGATTTTGACAGTGCTAAAAGGAGAAAATATTCACAAAACGTAGAGAGCAAATAATGCTGAAGTCGTTACCTGGCAACCTGTCGAACTACTTCGAAAGGAGCCATACATCTGTACTTAGCAACGCTGAGAACAGTAGTCGACGACACCTGGTTCACCAACCTCAAACGGCACAGAGTCGCAATCTGTATAAGAAACACAAGAATGAAAAGTACATGACGTGCAACAAGGCGATTTGCTTGGAACCGTACAAGCACCGTTTAGTGTAAACACCGAGATTCTTTTTTACGGTTCGCTATATTTTCATGTTGCCTGACAGAAGATTCATAAATTATTCATAACTCCCTTCTGGATTCGAAAAACTAACAGGGTGTTGCACAGTTAAACCTCTGGCACTAAGCATGACCAATTATCAATCATCATCTTTCATGATCGCTTCTCATTTCAGCCAATTACTCATCCAACAAAAACGGCGGCTAAAAATTTCAGTCAAACATTTCATGGAACTCTTGAACGCAGTTTTCTGTATATGAATTCCTCTCTACATGTAGACAAAGACCACTTAGAAGCAGTGAG